TCAGGCTTCCTCTCTCTCATTCTGACATATGCACATGATCCCGGACAATAACAACTGTACGATACTGTACATTGCGTGTACTTTGGAAGAAAAAAGCGGTACGGGACAACACACAAGAAATCCGTTCATGTTGTAAGCGGCCTCAGCTGAGACTACACGCCGTCGTAGCAGGTGAAATCTTTGGCCTTTGCCATGTTCGAAAGTCGCAAAACCTTGCCTCACGACAACGCCAGCAACGGCGACAACAACAACCGCAGCAGCAGCAGCAGCAGCAGCAGCAGCAGCAGTAACAGTATGAATATCAGCAGCTACAACAGCAAACACCACCACCAACAACAGCATCAACAGCAGCATCAACAACAACAACAACAACAACAACAACAACAACAACAGCATTAATAACAACTACAGCCACAACACTTTAGCAAGAACAACCACAGTAACGCAACAACACTCTACAACAACGCCTATATTTACAGTATTAAGAACGTAGTATATTATCTACATTACGTACACACCTTGAACCTTGTGAAGGAGATCAAATTAAAAATTTGATCTCTTACTGTGGGATCAGGTACACTAGCCTGTGGGAACCACTTGATCATGGTTTGCTCTATTATCAGGATATCATCGGCCCATTGGATTACATTACCCACGCGACGTCAAATTTATGTTTGATATCAGCTGTCTGATAATAATGTAAACACGACGACTTTCGCCACAGCCCTCTTTCTTATCCAGAGCTGTGATAAAACAATTTGCGCCAACTTTCCTCGATTTCCCGGGCGTTATCTTATACCGAAGACGTTACTCATATTTAGGGTGGTTCTTCGGTGTTCTATTTAATATTACATGTATAATAATATAGTTCTTCTTAGTTGTCCTATTTTTTAAAAAAATTGTTTACTGGTTACAGAGTTGAGCTGCTATTTCTTTTCTTCTACCTTTGAACGCTTTTATTTGTGGGTGTTTGTTTGTTTTTCAAAAGGAAATGTTGAACGCACAATTATTTTTTATGTACTCAACTGTGGGAAATTTGAGAGAGAGAGAGAGAGAGAGAGAGTGTGTGTGTGTGTGTGTGTGTGTGTGTGTGTGAGAGAGAGAGAGAGAGAGAGAGAGAGAGAGAGAGAGAG